ATTAACTCGAAGTCTAGTAAATTAAGTCGGTACAAAATTACCATGGAATAAATATCCAATAACTCATAAATATCAACAATAAAATTACCATGGAATAAATATCCAATAACTCATAAATATCAACAATAATATCTAACACTGTAGTTGTTTTTCTCTAAAGTTCCATCAATATTGTTTTTTTTTTTAAAGATTACAGCAATTATTCAAATTTAAAGTAAAAATTATCATACTTATTCAAATTTAAAGTTTAATTCAATGAAATTAAAAGTTGATTATTTGCAAGGTTGCAAAGGTATAAATTGGTGTCTTTTTTATTTATTATTATAGTGAGGTGTGGGTCATGGCCTCTCAATCTAGTGCCTTAGTGGCTTTCTTTTACATATCTACTCTTGCATGTCTTATTCTTGGCCGTTGAAATGACAAACTTTTTACCCTTTTAGATAACAAATTTCACGCTATGACATAAATTTAATATATATTTTTAGAACTGTTACAAAATTTTAGTCACTCTCCCATCAACGAGAGTGGGAGATTAAACCATCCACCTTGAGAATGGTTATAGGTATCTTATATCTACTAAGCTATTGGATTGACATAGAAATAATTAACGCTAAATAGTATCCAAAACCAAACTATTTTTTTTAAAATTCATCAATAAAAGTGAATATTTTAAAAGTTTAAGGATTATATTAAAATAATCTTCCATTTAAAATTATTGGGACTAAAAATTAATGATTTTAATGTAAAATTATTCTTCTATAGTAGGAAATTAATGAGATAAATATTTTGGTACTATTGTAGTTTTTTATATCTCATCACGATACTTTATCATATCAGTGCTAATTATTGACTTTTAAACCGTAAAATGTGATTTTCATGTCTTGATCATTGCTAATTATTACTCCTAAACAGTAAAATGTGATATCATGTCTTTGCGATAAAAAATTAAAAAAAAAAGCATATTTTTTTTAATATATAAGATTATGATGGTAGAGATTTTTTTTTCTCTTTTTAATTTAACAACTCTGCAGTGGATAATGGAACCACCAATCTTTAGAATATGTAATAAATATCTTATCTATTTAAATTAGAGACTGGTTTTTTAAATATTTAGCACAAAAATAAAAAATAAAAATATTATGTTATTTGTGGCACATGAAAATAAATGAAAGGCAGTGATTGGTTCTTCTCTGCAATAATTACAAACAGCTATGTCCATTGAATGTGATGGCTGATGAGATTTGTTTTATAACCATCATCACATCTGATAAATTCTCTCTTTTTTTGTAAAATGACAAAAATAACCTCTATAGTATAGGAATAGTTATGCAATCGCACCTGTAATTTGAGTAACAACTACCTTCTAAAATGACCAAATTGTTACAATTGTAAACTCCATTGTGTTATAAGTACTCCACTAGCCATTAGATTTAATTGCAAAAAGATTATAAGTTTGACAATATAATCCTAACAACTTTATGGTTTACCGAAATTTTATGGCCTAATTGTAACAACTCTTTGGTTCAGGTGTGGTTTACACATAGCTCAACTTCGGACAGGTTGGGTTGGGTAGTATTGATGCGTGAATTATGCTCTTCCAGTTCCCTTCTCAAGATTCGCACCAAACCGGATAAGAAGGGGACAAAGAACCTGCAAAACCAATCAAACCTAAATCGGTGTGACTCCAGTCACACGGTCTCTGATGCCTAAGTTAGCAAGAAGAGTGGAAGGATATCTAGAATTTCAGTCTCAAGAGTCGGCCCCTTACCTCTAGGGCTCCGTCCATCTTATAGCAGCCCCACGTGAATCCCCGTCAATTTTAGACCCGTTGGGGGTGTAATTGCGAAACGGGAGGTATCGCGAAACGGTCAGGTGAGCCATTACAGTTCTCGGCCCCGGCCGAGAACTGCCGAGACCTCCGCCGAGGCGCTTGGTCGGCTGAGGTCGACCCAGGTTGGCCCAGTCGACGTTTTCCGGAGCTCACTTGGCCCGTGCGCTTCTTTCCCGGTCTAATCGTTGCTTTTGTTACCTATAAGAGGTAGGATTTAGGAAATTTTCGAAACCAACACGAAAAATAGTTTCTCTACCTAATGGAACCAATTATACTTACCCAAGTCAATCCTATATCTTTTGGGTCGTGTTGGGTTCAGTCATCGGGTTACTCTACTTATGTTCTTCCTTCTGAAACAAGGGTTGGGATGAGACAGGCGGTAGACGATAGTAGACGAGAGGGAATGGTGGTAGACGACAAGGAACAATGGCAAACTATAGCAAACAGTGGTAGGGTGCAGTGGACATCAACGAAATGTGGTGAATATATGCAAATGGTGGCGAATGGCAACGGTGAGAGGGGTGGGATGAGATCGTGAAATAAGTGAAGATGGTGAGATCGGAAGTGAGAGATAGTGAGGAGATAGATCGTAAGAGGGCCTTAACACAACGAAGAAACAAAAAATCGATAGAAAGAAAAAGCGCGTTAGAGATATGAGAGGCAAAAATGCAGAGCTAAGAAACCCTAGAAAACATAATATGTGTATATGTGAATAAATTTTGAGTTAAACTGATATTTTTTTCTCTTAACCCGAGAATCAAACTGAATCGATTGGTTCTTAAAAGTGTGAACCGAACCCGAACCGAAGATTTACTTAACCCAACCCAACAGGTTTGGGTTGTTGGGTTGCTCAGGTTTTTCAAGTTATCGGATTTTTCGAACATCCCTAATTGGATAAGGCATATATTTCCGACCAAAATATCGTAATTCGAATTTGCACTGTACTTAAAAAAAAGTGTTATTACAGCCCAAGGATGGCAAACAAACCCGCCTCAGGATCCGATCCTTGCGAGTACCTGACCCAACCACGACGAGGAATTCCCGGTTTGACCGGGGGTAGGGTCAAATCGGGGATCCTAATCGCGGTCCCGATGGGGATGGAGAAGGTCTCCCCACCCCGCCCCATTTAATTTTTTTTATTTTTTTATTTTTATATATTAATTTTAATAAATACTTTTTATTTTTTAAAAAAAAGTCCACCCCTTAGCCATTTTTTTCTTTTTAACACCCATAAAATAAAAATAAAAAATAAATTTATTTATCGTGGACGGTTCCCCGCGGAGAACCCCTGATTTGGGAATTCCTGGCCCCAAAATTTTGAGGACGGGGAAAAATTCTCCAACGGGGCGGAGATGGAAATGACCTCGAACCCCGCCCTGTTGCCCTCCTTGCTGCTTATAACTAACTAGGAGTAGATTTTGCATGTTTTAATTTTAATCTTTAAATCTCTAATAAAGAGAGAATTCTAAACTTGATTCCTTCCTCAACTATAGGGTTTCCCAAGTGGACCCCTCAAACCTTATGTCTCTCAAATTTGATGAAAGATATAATTTAAATGCATCTAATAATAATTTGTAGGATGAAGATGAAGCGCTAATCATTTAGATGCCATTAATTAAATGCTTGTGAAAAATGTTCCAAAAGCATCATGAATTTAAATGCAGAAAATACATTGTGATTCAACAAAAATGGGTGTTTTCAAATTCTATCATCACAATTGAAAATTGATATGCACTTATAAAAAATCTTATCCTTCTAATGAATATTGATCCAGGACAAAATCACAATTTTCTTAAAAGAAACTTCCACCCAAATTTGAATCTATAAAGACTTCTAAATCTGTTTGATCAAGAAACAAACCTAAATCTGCGAACTTAGACTCGGACGGAAGAGGACCCGGTAGACGAGTTAGAGATGGGTTGGGCAGAGAACCTGCACAACAGAACACACTTCGATGCTAAAGTCAGTAGCTGGCCGAACTAAACTCGAAAGAGTATTTAGTTTTCGTGTACTTGAAAATAGGGTGAATGGTTCTATTTATAGGCAACTTCCCCGACAATGTTCCCGACAAGGCCTCAAGGACTCTTTAAGGTATCCGTCAATCGCGGTATGTTGTCGTGGAGCCTGTCGTAGACTAGGACTGAACCGAAGTGAAGCTAGTCGGTTCAACCAATAAATGAGAACGAGACTTCAAGGAAGCTTGATCGACCCGTCCACGAAGGCGTCGGCTCGGTCCAAGGAGATAGAGGTAATGGAGCTTGAATCTTACAATCAAAGCCACAGGTAACTATCATTACCCAATCAAGATTGCCAAGCTGAAATCTACCTCCAACAAAATCCATTATGAAATTCAGATTACTCTCCACAAAGTTCAATGAATATTCTAAGTTTTAATCAAGTTAACAACGTATTTAACCACAAAACGACTTTTAAATCCACTCTCCACAAAGTTCAATGAATATTCTAAGTTTTAATCAAGTTAACAATGTATTTAACCACAAAACAGACTTTTAAATCCATTATGAAAATAGTTTAGAGGTGGGAAATACTTGGGGCGGAGGAAATGTTATCAACCCTATAAATTTTGATCCATGCCTTCGAAAATGATTTTATAACGAGTGATTTTAGTATAAGAGATTTAGGGTGCGTTTGTAGTGATTTTGACATGATCAAAATCACTTTTACCATTCTTAAAATCACTCTTCTTCCCATTGAGTGAGTACAATAACTATAAAAGTGTTGTTTAACCGGAACCAAATTTATAGCATTAATTACTTTCGGAGGTTGAAATCTCCCCACTTGTTTTGAACTCAAATAATATCTATATATAACTACCAGTATGCAACTCCAAGCTTTAATTCTAAAATCTCTATGAATAATAAATTATGGAAATTTGTCTAAGTCCAAGTTTTGCATTTGCTTTTGTATGGCTCTTCATTATACAAAATAAAACATGCATTCAATGTTGCAACAAGACTCAGACAACTCAGACAACTCATAACCTAACTCTATAGAATTAGTCTAGAGACTACTATAGAATTAGTCTCTGGCTCGAGAAACAGAATCTAGTTTTTTTCATTTTTTCCATTGTTTAGTTCATGCGAAAATGAAAATGAAACCTCAAATCTTTTGGTAGAAGATGTCTTTAACAAAATGTGCGAAAATCTTGTTAGGTCGTTTAAATTTGCCTTGCAAATGGTATAGATGACGAAGATTTTAATTTTTACGACAATTTTTGACACCTCTAAATATATTACACCGAGTTAAAATAACCTCTTATGGCACATTAGCCTAAGTAGAAAGATCAATACAGTCCAATGGACATACCAAAAACCTCCAATCGAGACACAAACATAACTAACAAAATCAACAAAACAAATATCACAACTTGAACATAGCCACGCACAATGCTAGAAGAAGAGGCGGTGTTCATCAACCGGCCTATGGGACCAAACCTGGCCTTCTCAACCATGTATCTCGAATCGCCAACTTTCGCTACATCTAACTTCTTCCCTCCGCATCGACCTACTTCTCGCTTCTTCAATCTGATTCTTCGATTTGCCGAGCCTTGGTTCGGTGGCCATTCCAGAACGCCGTATGCATCGTGCTGGGACTCTTTCTCTATGTCTGATCTACGGAAAACCAGTGGGTACAGATTCGAATCTGCATGAGGTGTGGACTCATCTAGGTTTATAATGTCATCTTTTAGTATCTCTGTGTAGAAATCATCAGAGCCATAATCCTGGATAGAAGAAAGCAAGATTTTAGAAGTTGATGTGTTCGGGTAAACAAAAGAGAACATTTTTATCACCGAAGTTCAGGCAAACCCTTCTCTTGACCCTCCCTTCTCTTGAGTGTTTTTTTTTTTTTAAATAAGAAACGATATTTATAAAAAGAGGGAACAAAAGAACAGCCTAAGGGCAAGGGACAAGGCATCTCTTCCCAAAAGAAACTAGTAGAGGAGAGCTCTCCAATCCTATAAAATCAAAAAGCGGCTATAATTACAAAAGAATTTTCTGTTCTTATGACACCACCACAAAGCCGTAATATGAACACTATTACAAAAAAAAATCAAAAGACTGAGCTTTATCCTCAAAAGATCGAAACTTCTATTGAGTATTCTTACTCAACCCTTGAACACACTAAACATTGCCTACCTCAAATCTTTCCCTTTCACTCTATTTGTAACAAATCTCCCTCACAAACTTCCCTAACTAATTACTAATATACCCTAAATAATATTACCAAATCTATCCTAGTAGTCCCAATAAATATACAACTTTTTGTTCCGGAATCCACAACTCTACTTGGGAGATTGAATTAGTTTGGTTTAAACTGAGCTAAACATATTAAAAAAAAAAAATACATATTTTTTAACTTTTATTAGTTTATATCTTTATAAAATTGAGGCTGTTCAAGTAAAAGAATATTCAGTTGAACAGTATTTGGTCTATTTGGGTAACACTTGCTTTTTGTTTTTCAAAACTCCACTTTGTTTATTCACAATTTCTTTGTTTTCTTTTGCTTTGTTTTTTTATTTTTTTAAACACTCGAGAATAATTGGCCAAGTTTAAAAAATAAAGTTAAAATCTTTTTAGACCTTTTTGAAATTTGGCTAAACTCTACAATCTCTGGTCCATAATTTCCATCTTAAAATAAGTAAAAAGGGGCATCTAGAAATCTGCAGTTCCATTGCATATATATTGTACGAACAAGACTAATGATGAGAGGATGTTAGAATTTACCTTCTGATCACCGGAAGATTCCACAACTGCAGCTTCTGCTGCATCTTTTTGATTGGATTCAGATGTAGAATCCACCTGCTCACCAGAATGAGCAAGTGAAGAGGATAAGTTCATTCGACTAGAAGAAGCTCGATTTGAGCAACTATGTTGGCGAAATTCATTATTCCTCCGGAGGCGGCAAACAACTAGAAAATCCTGCAAAAAACAAAAGACCGTTCATCAACTTTGACTGAATTCAAAATGCCAAATGTACATACAACACAAGGTGCCAGAAAAGAAGAGCAACCATTCTAGTAAACAAAATAGCTCTCAAGTTAACATCATAGTATCATATTGAGAGGATGGAACTTTGGGGGTATTTAGGGTTATTAATAGAAAAAGTATGTTAGTAATTAGATAGGGAGAGTTGTTATAAATAGTGTGAGGAGGAAAAGATGAAGGTAGGCAATTGTTAATATGGTTTAGGCTTGAGAAAGAATAGTCAAGAGGGGAGGGTCCAAGTATCTTGAACGACGTGGGGGTTATTGTAATCATTCTATCTTTTTATCTATTTATCTATTTTAGCTATTTGGTTCCTATCACATAGTAGCCGTTGCAGTTCATCAAATTTCTTCCAAGGAAAAATCAAATACCATACATGGTGTTGAATATGTACGAAATTACTTGCAGATAAACTATACTCGTTATGTGCAATTTAGCATTCTTCTTTTCTAGAGATTACTTATTAACTTCAAATTCTGGAGAAACAATAACGGAAGATGCTTCAACACGCAACATCAATTAAACTCAATACAGCCCACAAATTTGGTTTCTTATGAACTCTTATGGTATCCAATCATTTATACAAAGCAATCCAATAAATCTTCTGTATACAATTAGAAAAGGATACCTTTGAGGAATGCACATGCAAATGAATTCTTGGCTTTAGGGTAAATAAACGTGGTCACTAATGACACGAAGAAGCCTCTGAAGAGATGTAACAAACATTTGAAGATTTCAATGCCTAGAAATACATTTTGGACGTGTCAAATGATCCGAGCAACTGGACCTAAGAACACTTGACTTGGCAAATGATAAACCACATTGTTATATTTAAGTATGCTAACGGCCGTTCAATTTTTACTTGGAATACGTTGGAGAAAGTTGGATGATGAGTTGTGAAAACAGAGGTATATGTAGGCATGTGTGATTTCAATTATGTCCATGAACAATTTTTACTCAGAATACAAAATGAAGTTTATTTGGCTGTGACTGTTTTTGTTGTTTATTAACCTAATAGTTGTTACAACCATGGTTCTAAATATCTGTCGATATCTCGACATTTCCATGTTTTCATGGGTTCGACATCGACATGAGRGGTAAATCTACCTTTCCATCATAGTACAATAAAATTGACAAAATATGAAAAATATCAACAAATGTCATGAATATATACATAATATTAATATTAATTATTTTTAACCAATTTAGAAACATAAAAATGTTTATTTGTTAATTTAGATATTTTTTACGATTTTTTAATTTTTCTAACTTTCACATAAATATTCATCGACATCGACATTTTATCGATATTTCCATGAAATTGAGACCTCGACATTTCAATCGACATCGCCATTTAACACCTTGGTTACGAGTTTTATTTCGGTGTTCAAGGTCATAAAGTTTCAATCTAATTAACCTAAGAAGAGCCCTAAGTTTAATTTCAATTTCAGTGAATTTAGTCCGTATGTTTTAACCTTAGTTTTGCTTTTAAAAGTTTCATTATCATCCCTATGCTCTGATTGACTCTATCGTTAATAAGGATTGATAGAAATCCAACATAACGAGCTATTAGAGGTGTAGTAGATTATATGGAGTCTATTACATGAGATTTTGTCTGATGTAGGCATTTGGCAAGTCTCATCAATTGAAGAACATGAATTAGGTCAAGTTTTCATGCATTACTTTCTTTGAAAAGTAGCAAGGGGCTATGGGTAATCCTATTTTAGCTAATCCTATTTGTGACTCCTTTTGTAGTGCAGCCTTAAATAACTTAAGGCCTTAGATTATATTCCTTCTCAGTTCTCGCTAACAATACAGATGTCTAGTATTCATCAAATGATAGAAAGGATAATGAAGCCTTTTAAAATATAGATAAATTGAAATGAAGATTAAAGCATAGAGAATAAGAATGCAATTTACCCATATTTTAAAAATTTTCAGCCTCGTTTTTTCTTCTAGGATTTTACTAGATAGTAAAAGTCAAAGCACAAGGTTAGCTATAAAGCATAGCCTATTCTATTTCCATGTCTATGATAAACAAAACTAACCTTAAGACTTATGTTGCTCAGAATAAGGTTTTGGTTATCAACGCAAAAGCAACGACTGGAGTCTATCACGCAAAAGATCTTTCAAGTTCAGGCAATAAGCTCACAATCTTCTATGGTGGTGTTGAGGGCTCAAAAATATAATGAAGCCTCCACTTAACTTTTGTTTAGAACTTCAAACTATGCTTTTGTTAGACCCCCTATAACTAAAACATATTCTAGGAGGGGTAGGATGGGAATTGTATTAGGGAAAGAGAATAATTGAGGCACGAGCATAACGGCCTGGAGAGAGAAAGTGGGCCTAGGAGAGTAGAAATAGCCTGTGGCAGGGGAGGGGAGGATTATCGAAGTCTGTAGTGTGAGTAGAGTAAAGGAGAGCTACCCACCCTCTTGAATCGGTGGGGTGTTACCTGTAATCGCCTTCGGGCTCTGTTTTCTTGAATTCCAAAACATTGTGAGGAGATACCTCACATATTGGTATCAGAGCAGTTCGAGCTTGGAAGATTGATCGACGATGACGGTAAAAGAGTTGGAAGCCAGATGCGAAGCTACCGAGAAGGAAATCACCGATATCAAAGGAGCGGTTATGACCTTGTGTGGGAAGGTGGAGGAACAACGGTTAGCGAGCGAACGGATTCAGACGATGCTCGAAGGGTTCATGTCCGAGATCATCGGAGGGAAGACGTCGACTCTCACACAACTGGCGGAATCGTCGGTCCGGAGGGATTAGCAAACGGAAGAAACGACGAGAGTAATTCAGATCAATGAGCAAGGCTATGATCGAAATAAATTCAAAAAGGTAGAGATGCCTATCTTCCTTGGTAAGGACCCTGATTCTTGGCTGTTTCGTGTTGAGCGTTACTTTGAAATACATAAGTTGACTAATGAAGAAAAGCTGATCGTTTCTGTGATTAGTTTTGATGGAGTAGCTCTAGCATGGTATCGTTATCATGAGAACAGGGATAGGTTCACAGGTTGGGAGAACTTGAAGACCAGACTCTTGGATCGTTTTCGAAAGTCGAAGGAAGGGAGGCAGTGTGCACGGTTGCTAGCGATCAAACAAGAAGGAAGTGGTGGAAGAGTATCAGGAAGCGTTCGAGGCTCTCTCCGCCACCCTACCTCAACTGCCCGATGAGGTTCTGGAATCGACATTCCTCAATGGACTGGACCCGGTGTTGCGGGCCGAAGTACTGGCAACTGAGCCCGTT